GCGCTTGCGGCCCCCAAGAAGATTGACATCCTAGTCCCGCCTGGCGGTGACCTGGCGAAGTTCGGCCCGGATGCGGCCTATTCCGCCTCAGCTGTTGGCACGGACGCCGCGGGCCACACACGACCTTTCTCGTCGCCTTCAACCAGATTCACGCATTTGGCTCGCGCCCGCCGCCAGGCCAGAGCCCGTCCGTGACCGTCACCACCGTGCACACCACAGGTACGCGCCTAAATAACTACAGAGCCCTCCTCACGCCGCTTAGCAACGGTCGTCGCCGGCTCTGACTACATCTCCGAGCCGATCCCGGAGCGCTCCGGCGATGGCTACGCCTGCAGCCGCAGTGGCTCGTCGGCGGCCTGTGAGGGGTACAACGCCGTGCGCACGCCGGCGTACTCCGGCCCGGTGCAGACGACCGCGCTGCCGACCGCGGGGTTCTACAAGATCGTGCTGGATGCGGGGAACGTGCCGAACTCCGCGCGGGGGCCGGCCCAAGTGGGGGGGGGGGGCGGGCGCAGCGGCGGGGATCGTGCTGGCGGGGCTGCTGTCGTTTTTGCTTTGATTATGTCGGTAGCAGATACAATAATGGATTCCCCCAAATCTCATCCAAAAATGGGAATCTGCGCGATCACAACGTGACATTCGGCTGAGTGACTGGGTGACGTGGCGGTCACACGGCCTTCTTTGACTCCCGACGTCGTTGCGCGGAAGACCACGAAACCAAGTCTGCGCATCGCCAAGATGGGTTGACCCGTTCGCCGACCCGCTCGTCTGACCTCTCCTACTCGGTGTTTCACGGCTCATTGTTCTGGCGGAAACGGTGAAGACGTGCCGGACCAGTGTTGTCAATAAGGGTATTAATAAGGGCAGTCCTGCAAGGTAAGGCCTTAATATCAAGATAAGTCTTAATAAGGATACCATAATTAAGGGTGTTAATAAAGCTATGTACAACCATCAAAATCATCCCCAGATCCTCCAAGTGCACCATCGTCAAGCTTCTTCCCACTGTACTCAGCTTGTAGCAGTTCCATAAGCCCTCCTCCTGTATAAGAGCTGCACAGCAGCACATAGCCTGCTCTGTTTATATTGGATTGACTGTATTCTTGGAAAAGAGCTTGTGAAGAGTTGCCAGGAGCCCAGTAGAGGTGTTTGGGAAGCACAGTGTTATTTTGCTTGCCAGATTTTGACCTACAGTAGTACCGGTGGGGGGTGAGAATTCAGTGGTGTGATGTGATCATTAAGCATATTAAGGGCCTTATCATAAATCTTGTCCATGATAAGGGCTTATCATTATCTTATGTTAAGGGCTTAATAAGGTTAAGGGTTATCATCTTATCAACAACACTGTGCCGGACTGGCCCAGCGTACATACGCGAAATTGTCTCCCGACGGTATCCATGGGCGACGCATTCATCGTTTCCTTGATCCCCCAAGCCACTCCAATCGCCGTATCTTCTTGTTTTTCAACCAGGCTGGGTCTGAATTGGCTTTGAACTTGTTTGCCTGCCCCTGCCTGGGCCTGGGCCACTCTGTTGGCCTACCAAGCGCAGCTAACTGTAATGGTACACGCCGATTACTCATCGTGCTCACGCATCAGCTGGCAGCAAAGCAGAGCCTGTGTCTTGCTAATGCTCTGGGTCTTTCCGTGTTGACGGTGTTGTTTTGCTGAAATGTGGCGGCAAGGAACACATTTTCGAGTCTTCAAGCGGATCAGCAGCTCGGAGTCTGTGAGGCGTGCCGCAGCTACTGCAGAGTGAGTCAGCGCTCCAAACGTGCTCTCGACGCTGGAGGCTCGATGATGAGCTATGAAGCTGTCGTTTGGCTGTCGTTGGTGACAGGCCGGTGATGAAACCTTCCAAATCTGGGAGGGGGGGTCTGAGCACGTGTTGTAGCGGGTGGGCGAATCTGACAGATCTGACACCTCTTGGTCTAGCCCCTTGTTGACGTGTTATGTGCGTTGTGGTACACTGTTGCTCTTGCGATCGGCGGCGGAGAATGCGGGACTGCGGTCCGTGGCCGGGTTTCATGTCGTCACCAAGCACGCTTCCGGCGTTGTAACTTGTGCCTGCCCGGCTTCCTCCGAGCGCAGTCGGGGCGGCAATGGGGATTGGACCAATGGGCGAGGCATATCAGCGAAAGCGCGGCAGCCCGCGAACGCTCAACCGAACGAGATGTATCCGCAATATTCGACGATGGACACAACTGGCGATAAGGTTTATGCGGCTTCGCTGGACGACAACCGGAATTGACGCTTATTTGATCGTATATCTTGGCAAGCGAGAGACACTGGCAAGCTGCAAGCCCAAGGGGGGTTCAAAGTTCGAATCACGGATATAGGGTCGGAAAGTTTTTTTCCGACCCCCCCGGGACCCCCCCCCTCCCCCCCTCCTGCCATATATAGTAATATATTCTCACGATCAGCGTCATGTGACCACTGATGCGATCAAAAAGTGGGATAAAAAATTCAATCTTTGTGAAACTTTTTTTTGTAAAAAATTTATACATGTGTATGTGTATATGTGTAGGTATGTATGTACCTAGAGCCTTCCAACACACACATGGAAGGCCATATTAACCCTCCAACATGTTCACCTCTCATCAATTACCTGATGCATGGGCCTCTGACAGAGTGGGCTATCCAAGTGCATGGGCCTGAAAGTATATAGATATAAGTAATGAGAGTGCTGAACTATAGAAATTAGAAGGTATACACTATATTTTCAGTCTCTTTATACCCATATAAGGCCCAAATCTTTTATATACAAAAAGTTTTTTTTACCCCCCAGGGACCCCCCCCCTCCCCCCTACCCCATGTGCCTGATAAGGATCTTGAACCCCCCTTGTGCAAGCCTGCAAGTCGCGAGTAGCGGAACATTGGGATTATTGGCAACTCTTGGGCAGTTTTCAGAAACGATTTCAAAGCTAACCAGGCTTTCATGCTGGTCGTCCCTCGCATCGGTAGTCACTCTCTCTTGATACCCGCCTGGGCCGGATCGCTTACCAGTTCCTGGTCAAGCGCCGCGGCTGCTGTTGACGGGGACGGCGTCAGCAACAAGCGGACAGTCCGATCAACTCTTCGTCCCGGGACTCCCGGCTCCGATAAAGGATTATGGGGTAGAATTACCCAGTACAAGCCCAGGACCGCATCTACAGGTATGTGTTTCCGAATGAGTTATGGACGGTCAGAAATTTGCTCAACCTTCGATCAGTATAGAATGCTACTGTACTACATACAGTCATGGCGGAATCTAAGATTACTCCTTGGCAATCGAACCGAGTCTGCGACGCCTCGCTCAACATGGCCCAAGTACCTAGACAACCCATGTTGTGTGTCAACTACTTACTTGGTCAACGATCGTGACTGGGCGGGTTCTGCGTGCCCTCGATCGGCAAACAGTCGAACCGGAACCCGGCGGTACAATCCACGCAATCAGTCAGGCCCGATGAGCCGGTACGCAAGCAGGCCAACGTCACCAGGAACGAGTGCTCGTCGCGATTCGACGATTTCATCTGTTTACCTTCACTCCGGCATGTTGAAGCTTGGTAAGTATTCGGATGTCTGGAAACTTTGGAAAGTTATCCACTGGCACGGATGACACATCACGAGCCTGAGCGGGTCAGTGCATACTTACTTACACTCACTGCGGCCAAGTTGCGTTCCGTTACTGTCCGCACAGAAAAAGAGGAATCGTTCCGACGGAGATAAGCGCGAATGAGGCTCATCGATCGCAGCAGCGGGATCGACATGATTGAGTGTGCAGCACATCTCATCATCGGCCTTTGCGTCCGGGCTGGAGCCAAGCCGCAGCTCGATGCGATCAATCGCACCAAGCGCAAGAAGAACCGGCAAGGCCATCGGGCATCCTTCACGGTCAACGAGTAGGACGTACTAGTAAAGTCGGAGCTGCAACGCGCAGCAAATACTAAGTTTGCATATGCCAGGTACAACAATTTGACCATGAGCGGAATGTAGCTAGGGCGGGGCGGGCTGCTCGGTCCGTGGACCGTGGGGTTTTTTACTTTGGCGTTTGGCAGGATCAATTTCTCGGGTCACATCACCACGCCAATCAAACCTTTTCTTCCCGATCTTCCATCTTCTCCCGTTCTCAGCCTGCCCCGGAGCTGCTGAGCTGACTCGCAGTCTCATGCTCGGAGAGCGTTAACCGACTGCTAGAGGACCGCAAGCACCGCCAATGTCATCACATTACTCGAAGTTTCTGATTCAGATAACAAGTGGAGACGATTGAAGGACACAAACACCATATCATTCTCATTATTCTCATTATCTACGCTAAGACGGGGGTGCCAGTGGGGTCCGCGACGCTGGTGCTAGTGCTACCGCTGGAACGCAAACGTCAGAAGCAGGCAAAGAGTAAACCGGTACTTACGTCCAGGTGACGGTCGTGGTTCGGGTGACGAAGAAGGGCTCGCTTCAGGAAGCGTCAGCGGAAGAGCAGTTATGGGTGGGCTGACTTACACGTCGGTGAGTGTCTTGAATTCACGCGTCGCAGTGAAGACATTTGGGGCAGCAGCCTGTTCGCCGTTAGCAACGCGTCTCAACCGAAACGAAACGACGGACAACGGCGAGGGAGACGAGGGCGGCGAGGGCAAGGAGGGACTTGTACATGATGGGTGTTTGGTGAGTCGGAGTTGGATGTTTCAAGCGACAGTTGCCAGGACTTATATAGGCCTTCCAAATCCGGAACGTGCCAGTGGTCCCAAGCATCGCAACCAACTCCGACTTCAAGCATCATCATCCGTAGGCTCATCAAATCAGGCTGACCTCGTCCACTGCTCGTACCGACAACACACACGTACGTACATAGCTTTTCCCCTGCTCCATTGCTACGAAGCCCAAAACTCAACAGCCGCGATGAATCTCAGATTCGACCACCGGCCGACTTGGCCGTGCAGCGATCGCTGGACTTAAAAAGGACACGCAAAAGTTGCTCGTCTTCAACCGACACCTACTTCTCCTTCCTCACTCACTTTTTTCACTCGGCATGCTCACTGCGGCCACATCTCTTGTCGCTCTTGCGTTCGCTGCCCCTGCACTTGGTGCAATAGGCCCCGTCGCCGACCTTAGGATCGTCAACGCCCAGGTCGCTCCTGATGGTTTTGCTCGCTCGTCAGTTTTGCCTCTTTCTTCCGTGCGATCGGTACTGAGTCGATTCCCAGCGCTGTAACTGCGGGAGGCACCATTCCAGGTCCAATTATCAAGGCGAACGTCGGCGACAGATTGCAGCTCAATGTCATCGACGATCTCACTGATAACACCATGCTGCTCAGCACTTCTATGCATTGGCATGGCTTGTAAGTTTCTCCTTCATCATAGTCGACGCATTAACAAACGTCCGATAGTTTCCAAGCTGGCACTGCTTGGGCAGATGGCCCCGCTTTCGTTACACAGTGTCCCATTGCGCAGAATGATTCGTTCCTCTACGATTTCTCCACCGCCGGCCAGCCGGGTGAGTGATGATTATATCAAGATTCAATTGCTGACATCTCTTAAAGGAACTTACTGGTACCACTCCCACTTGTCGACGCAGTACTGTGATGGACTCCGTGGAGTCATCGTGGGTATGTTCTTTCATTCGCCCCACTTGTTGCTCCGGCCAATCCGTCCTTCAGTTTACGACCCCAACGATCCGAACAAGAGCCTTTACGATGTAGATGATGATAGCACCGTTCTTACCCTTGCGGACTGGTACCATGCCCCCGTCCATACTCTGCCTCTCCCTCCCACTCTCGTTTCTACCCTGATCAACGGTCTTGGACGTTATGCTGGCGGCCCGACATCACAACTTGCCGTCGTCTCGGTAACGCGGAACAAGCGCCATCGCTTTCGCCTTGTCTCTCTCTCTTGCGGTAAGCTCTGCTTTGTATGCTGTCCCGTTCTCTAATCGTCGCGACCCAGACCCTCTTTTCACACTGAGCATCGATGGCCACACCATGACCATCATCGAGGTGGACGGTGTTAACCACAAGGCATGTGTCGCGACTTTCATGCCCATGTGTACTGATCGGTTTTCCCCCCAGCCCTTAACCGTTGATTCTATCCGAGTTTTAGCTGGTCAACGATACTCTTTCGTCTTGAATGCGAACCAGCCCGTCAACAACTACTGGATCCGCTCTGTCGCTAATGGTGGAACCGCCGGTTTCGCCAACGGTATCAACTCGGCGATCTTGCGGTATGTTGGGGCGCCGATCGCCGATCCAACAACCCCCCTTGTTGCGTCTACCAACCCGCTTATCGAGACCAACCTCCACCCGCTCGTGGCCAGTCGTGTCCCCGGCAGGCCCGTCCGCGGCGGAGCCGACGTCAATCTCAACCTGGCCATTGGTTTCACTGGCGCAGGCTTCACTGTCAACGGAGCCGAGTATGTGTCACCCACCGCCCCGGTTCTCCTCCAGATCATGAGTGGAGCGCATACCGCCGCGGAACTCCTCCCTCCCGGCAGCATCTAGTTCGTGATGCGCTCAACAGCTGTCGTCAGCTAACCTGGCTCATCAGCACTCTCCCGCCCAACTCGGTGGTCGAGCTCTCCATTCCCGGAGGCACTGTTGGCGGTCCCCACCCGATGCATCTCCACGGTGTGCGTGTTGGGTAGCTCATCGTCGTGTCGCCGCTGATATCGGTTCCAGCATACCTTCTGGGTTGTTCGCAGCGCCGGTGACTCCAACTATAATTATGTTGACCCTGTCATCCGCGATGTCGTCGACACCGGAACCTCGAGGAAGTGAGCCTATTTCCTTGGCCTGTTACCGTTCGCAGCTAACAACGCGTTCTCTAGCGACAACGTCACCATCCGCTTCGAGACTGACAACGCGTAAGTGCACCTCCTCCTCCTACGCTGTGCCCTCCTCTGACTTGCTCGTCCAGCGGTCCTTGGTTCCTCCACTGCCACATCGACTTCCATCTCGAAGTGTACGTCCCATTCCGCGCGCACCGCAGCACAGCTGACCCTTTCATCCAGTGGCCTTGCGGTCGTTTTCGCCGAGGACACCGAGAAAGTCGGCACTGTCGTCCCGCCAAGCAAATGGGGTACGCTTTGCCCCAAGTACAACTCACTGACGCGCGAGCAACTCGGGGGCTTGTGATTCTGTCGACTCACGGAAGGAGAGAAATTCGGACAAGTTGAATCAAATAAAGTTTATCTATCATGTACTTATGTTTACGCCTCCTGGTTAATAGTCAAGCTTTTAATGGTAATCTTTGAGTCGTAAATGTTCGTGGTATACATTGCATTGGCCAACAGTGTTGTTGTTGAAAATTGAAATCACCTGGAATCAAAAAAAAAAAAAAAAAAAAAAAAAAAAAAAGTTTGGTGTGAAGATTCAAATTTGGCTGAAGACTGGTGCTGTGGGCAAATACTGCAGATAATACTGACGGTGACGGTGACATCACCGAGTATCCGTTTTGGGATGTGTATGAATCTCGGAGGCCTGTGTTCAAGTGTGCTTTTGCCCAATTTTGATAGTGCTTTGTGCTGGACTGAGCTCACATGCTATAGCTGTACTATGCACCTTGTCTTGTTCCAATAATTTATTTGCTGCTGGAACTGCTGCTGGAACAGCCCATGGGTTTTTTTGATCGTTCAGAGTAATGACTCGCTTCATTGGAACTTCAGTAAGAACATCCGCTGGGTGCACCAAGGGGGTGTCATGATTCGAAAAACGCATATACCGTCAAAAAAGTTTTTAAGAGCTTCCTGGGACCCCCCCTCTCCCCTTACCATATTGGGTAATATATTCCCATGATTGCTCATCATGTGACCTAATGATGCGATCAAAAATGGCGAAAAATTCATATTTCCAGTTAAATTCATTAAAATACTGTTACTTATGATTGATATATAGGACTTGAGCCTTCACAGAGTCTCTAGTAGGCCATCCAAGGCTATATGTAATCAATAAGCAATGAAAAATCTATAACACCAATCACACTGCAGTCACACTGCACCCAAGGAAGGTGTTGAAAGCCTTCCCATAGGAAATGAAACGCGAGAGATCAGAAGGGGGAGGGAAGGGGAAATGGACAGAACAGGGGATGGGAAGACAGGAAACCTAACACACACAACAAACTAACAACCCAAACCAAGATGTATTAGGGACCAGGGCCTCGTAATGACGGAAGGCCCAGGTGTACCAGCTAAGGTAATCCCGGAGGTCCGGGGGGTCGTTCGAGGACGTGATTCTGTTATTGATCAGGGGATCAAGTCCGCGGCTGAACTTGGTCACCTTGACCAATGCGTCTTCGAATCCGGCAAGGTCCATCAGGTCCTCGAAGTCGTCAGTGTACTGGTAGACATCCTTTGTACCCATGTGGTAGGCGGAAGTCTCCAGCTTGGAGAGAGTGTGATCTTGCTCGTTCTCCCGACGAACCGGAGTCGAAACTCGGAAACGAACAAGCCCTAGGACGGAAATGGAAACGGGGCTTTGCTTCCGTGGCGCCTCCGCCCATTGCTGAGCGGGTCCTTCTGCCATAAATGACATGGCGTAACGGACGGGTTTTCCTTGCTCGCCTCTCCATTGACCACAAAGGCCTTAGGGGCAAGGCGGGCATAGGTGCGAACCGCGCAGCCGCGTTTCCAATCGCCATTGAAGGTGAACGGGGGGTTTGGTTGCAAGACCAATTTTGAGGCGAGGTTGATGTCGCCAAAGAGGGCTTCGGAATCGCCCTGGACCGGAGTCGGAGTTGGAATCAATGTCTCCGGTGATAGTATTTGGGGTCCACCAGCACTATTAGCGGCGGCAGCAGCAGCGGAAGCCTGGTTGGTGAGTAAAGGAAGGGCCTCAGTTAGGCTATCAATTTTTGCCTCGAGTGAGCCCAGCCGGGCGTCTGCAGTGGGAGTGACTCTGGGCGGCATGAGGGGTGCGGGGACCACAGGAGTGGAGGAGGAGGGGACAAGTGGCAGGGGCGGTGATGAGGGCGGAACAGACTCGTACTCCGAGCCTAAGTCAGCGCCCGAACCTGGCAATCTTGTCCGGTTGATCCCGTAGAGAGTTTCTTCTGCTGTAAGGGCAACCCCGGAGGCCTGAGATCAAGGTCCTAGCAGGGGAGGATCCAAAGCGTGAACATTGGTAAGTGAATACAAATGAAGCTGACCTAGCAGGGGAGGATCGAAAATCGAAAGAGAAGAAACTCTAAGGGTCCGCCTGCTAGGGAGCTGATTGCCATCTTGAGTCAATTCTTGACACAGTCTACTTCTCTTTCAGGGTCTCCGAAAGCTGGTCTCTGGCCCGCCACCGACGGACATCTCTCTCATAATACTGCTTCCCAGCAGTTCCAGGCCATTCCGTATGACTCTGATTCGTGGCCTTAGTCAGCAGCAACTGCTGGCCTATATATAGGTGGGCTTTTTTCCCCCATTGGTACCTTCAAGTTTGTAGTACCTATACATACATGTCTGTGAATCAAAATTAATGTTGCAACCCTTGGTTGATTTCATTTTCGACTAGACTTCTCAATAGATACAAGGCCCAAGTTCGCAGATCTGTGGTATATTTCCAGCCATATACTGTAGTATTTTCCTCAGTTCGCATGTCACGTGTCACACTTGCCATAAAATTCGAATTTTTTTCACATGTCACACTGTTTTACTCAAATTTGTGTCCCAAAAAGGCAATTTATGACGTTTCCGGGCGCCTCCGGCGCCAAGAATTTCCTAATTAGGCAATAATTCGAATTCAAATTTTCGTATCAAATGTCACACCATTTTTGGCATTCGAATTGAGTAAAATACTACAGTAGATTTGCACATCTCTGCAATCTTGAAAAATGAAAAACATAGATAAATGGGTAACATAAGTAAAAGGGTAACATAGGTTCATAATTTATATCTTATAATTGCGGATATATGCTCTACCACATATTAAAATTTGAATCAAATGTCGAATTAAACATAAAGGCTGAGTTTATTGAAAAGTCTTGTTGTAATTAGACTTGTCTAATAATAACATGTGGGTATACTGCCATTTATATCAATTGTCCCAGTATTGCCTTGAATATTTCTATGGGATGAACTGAAGCCAGAAATGGACTTGTGTTAATGCTTTGAAAAGATGCTCTTTTAGTATTTTGGACAATAGGGACTTTGTTAACCTGATCAACAGTAAAGCCACCAGCTGGTAGCCCAGTTTCAAATTCTGGATCAGAATGTTTCTTGGATAATTCTGAATCCAACATCTAAGTCAGGCACTTGTCTTCCTGAATATCCCAAAGATGCAACTAGAGCCAAAACAGAAGCTAGCTTAACTGTCTGAAAGCTTACTATCACCTTGTATTATAGCTGCAGGGGTTGAAACATTAAACTCTACCCTATTCATATTGAACAACTTAAAGGAAGAATTAGAGTGAGGTTGTGTCTCCTTTTGGCTAGGATATACAGGTGTTGATAGCTCACTAGAGTTTGCCTGAGCTGTGGGGATCACTACGGAGTAAGAACTCAGAAGTGACTGAAAGTTGCAAATAATACAACAATTGATAAGTTTTTCAGTAAATATTTGAATGAACCCCTCGCAGTGGTCTCCATAAAATACATGTAGGAAATGAGCTAAGTAGCTAGATGTCAAATCTAACCAACTAAATGAAATCCAAAACATGTATGGTTGTGTTTGGGGTTTGAGCCACAGGAAACGACTAACTGATTCAAATATGCTCACATGTCAGAAAGTGACAACCTGGATGGTTGGTTAGAGTTTCGCAGTTTCCTCATTTCCGGTGTCACCCCAAAACGGAAGAGACGATCGGCCGGTGAGGGGCCAGCGATTGGCCGGTAGGCTTAGTCGTCAATGATTACTACATTGTGTGACATTACATCGTATCAACGCTTCTGCCCATCCTTGACTTTAAGTCCACTGCTTGCGCCAGCACCGTACGCTACATCACCAGCCTTCTTACGCTTTGCCTTGACTGTTGGCATAATACTGCGGAACTCTGCTGCCGTGGTCTTGTTTAGTGGGAGTTTTTGGGCGATGGGAAGGATTTCTTCTTGGTCCAACTCGGACAGCAAGCTGTCAAGCACTGTGTTCAGCTCTTCCAGCTTGGGGCCAAGTGCATATGGATGTTGGGGTAGCTTGAGTAGTCTGGCAACATGGTCCATCTTCCGTGTGATATGTGTTGTCAGGGAAATGTGGTCGATTTGCGCCAGAGATGATGGTTCAGACATATCGACAGCTTGAGAAACATCAAGAGCGGTGAGGGCAATTTGCGGCGCATGGATTTGATATGAGAGATAGTCTTGATGGATAGATAGGCCACAGCCAGTTGTCGTGCTTAGCTGTTTGTCGAAGCCAGCGCTTACAGCACAGATGTGCTTGCAGAAGTGGAGGAGAGGAAAGTCGGCACAGTCACAGATGTAAGCATCCATGTCAACAGAGTACGAGGTGGCCCGGGCTGTTTGGGAAATAACAAGAAAGTGGCTGTCTTCAATATATGAGATGTCGTCCCAGCTGATAGATCTGCTCTTGTGAATAATGTCTGCCCGCTTTCTTGCTTCAAGATCAGGCCCATCGAAGCCAAGCTGTCGCCAACGTTGATTAAGTGTGTAATATGGCAGGACCTTCTTCATCAATATATGGAGGAGGTGGTCAATACGGCGGTTGTGATGACCTTTGAGGAATTTTGACTTGAGTACATGGTGCCATGCTTCGAGCAACATGTTGGTGTTATTATTCTGGAAGATGGTGAATTGTGTGCGGCAGACCCCAGACCATATCCAAACAACCGTATCAGATAGCCAGTATTGATTGAGGTAGTCGAGGAAAGAGGCAGGAGCGATTTCTCAAATGTGGGCATCTGATGGAATTCGTGTGGTGACCAAAGCCGGATGAAGGACTTGAGACATTCCCAGAGATGAGCGTTGCTTGGGATATGGAAGTGTTGTTGCCATGCGTGAAGCATGTGCCACCAGCAGAGTAGCATAATGGCGGAGGGGAAAACAGTGTGACAGGCATTGATTTGCGCCCAGTCAAAGTCGCTCATGATATATGTTGGAGACAGTTCTGGCAAGTGATTGGCGACTTTGGATAGGAAGAGTGTGATTGTATCTTGTTTACCGTCAGATGACAGCATCCAGGCAGTCAGAATGCCATGTCGACAGTGGCGTGGCGTAGCAAGAAGGGAAAGATATTGAGTGGTGTTATCTTCATCAACCTGCCAGTTGTTTGCGGGTGGTGGAGGAGTTGGTGATGGTGTACAAAGCGGAGATCCAACCAGACGGTCAAGCCTCTCTTGTGTGGCAGCTTCGCGGGCAGCAGTGGTAGCAAGACTACGTCAAATAGCAAGACGTACATCCAGCTCCTTATTGAGGTCTGGCAGCAGGAAAGGCGGGGAATGGAGTGGGCAAGTTTGAGGAGAGAGAGGTGTGTGTTTTGCATCCACTGGTGTCGATACAGTGCGTTTTGCAAAGGTTACAGTTGTGTGGGGCTTGCCGGCGACATCCACGATGAGCGCAGAGTTTCTTGGGGCATTTGCGAGTCTCTACGGGAGTTGAGCAAGGTGGGGATGAGCATAAGAGAAGGCGGGATGTTGTTGTAGGGCAAGGCAGTCGCAAATTTGGGTCCGAAGGTTGTTGACCAAGCTTGAAGACGTGGAAGTACTTCTCGCCATCAATGCGAAGACTCTCCTGAAAACACTACTCCAGCAGGTCAGTACAGACAACTCGTGGCAGACAACAATGCAATGTAAACATATAGGCATCATCCTTCTTTCGCCGAAACAAGGGCAGAATCTTGTTGTGTCGTGAACCGTCAGCAAGTCGTCGGGGGCATTGGAAGAATGGGTCATCGATGGAGGGTTGTGGGAGCTGGTGGCGAGAGTAGTAATTGAGGGCCATCGTCGATGTTTGGTCGAGAGAGAGACTTTGACAGAGGTGTCACAAGGGTTACATATGCTCATTCGCCGGCGGCGCTCCACCCGGCTCCACATTACCTTTTTGGGGTGACAGCAGAAATGAGGAAAGTCAAGAGTGGTTGGTTAGCCCCCCTCCAGACCCTTAATTTTTTTTCCTGTAGAAGCTTTTTGGCTAAAATTATGAGTCAAAATTGCCTTAGGGTGGCTCATAAGTAATGTTTGGTGCACTATATATCTGTAGTTGAGTGTTAATAATCTCATAAGAGGTTTTTCTTTAGTAGTCATAATTAGATGAGAGATTGCATCAAATCAGGCCATATGGGGAAGGGTCTCTACTTTAGAGTGAGATGGGAGGGCCTTGACAGATTGGTGATTGTGTGGGTGAAGGCAAGGGCGAAGGAGGCTGTGGATAATGGTCAGGATAGGTTGGAGCATCCGAGGGGGCATCGGTTAGACACATCTCGTTCCCCTGACAGGTCTAACTACATGTTCTGTCCTTCTTTATGGCTACTACAGATGTGGGCAGAATTATTTGTATTTATGAGGTTTTGCTGGATTTTTTTTTAGTTTCTTGTGTCCCATTTGATCAATGTTGGATCACTGGTCAGAATTTCCGAAACTGCTGTACAGATGGGGTCACTTTTAGCAAGTTTTAATTTTTTATTTCTCAAGATTTTTTTATCATACATGATATTGGCATGATACAGTACGATCAAATACTTCTTCTGGGACTATTTCTTTGTCCAAAACCCCACTGTGCACTGGTATGTTCAACCCATCCACATCATAATATAGTACATGGTACACCTCAGTGTTGCTGACACAACCAGGGTGACTCGGATATTCCTACACAATTCATCCTCCAAATGGACAGATTCTGTACTATACAGGACAAGGATACGATATGATTATTACGGCTTATACAGTTATACTTCCCACTCGTACAGTTATAATCCACCTTTGATTTTGTTTGACTATATCACTCCGGGTCGTTTCTTCCGGTCGCCAACGCTCACGTCATCGCGCGCGTCCATGTCCTGGGCGTCGAGCCTGCCCTTGTCAACTTGGACAATCTGGTGGACGTCTTGGGGCGCAGTAAGAAACCCGATGGACGGACGCCAAGAAGGGAAAGACGTACGGATTCCGCCGAGCGTGTCCAGCCTTGTCGGGCGATCGCCCTCTCGGCCGCTGCGGTCCCTTGGCGCGCCCGAGGTGCCCGTGCCGGCGACCAGCGACGCCGGGAAGCTCAGATGGTCGTCAGACCGCTCGCTCGAGTTCCCGATATCACCCATCCGCCGCGTGGTGAGGTTGAACAACAGCGTGCAGCCGTATAACCGCCCGAGGACGAACCCTGGGGCGAAGGGAATGGTGGTATTGGGCCAGACGAGGAAGGTGATGAGCACCAGCGACGCGACAACGGAGGTGGCGCTGCCGGTCTGGATCGCAATAACGATCAGTCGGTGGATGACACTATATCACACTGAGGGAAGAGAGACACAAGAAGTAAGGTACACGCACGAACGAGTTCGCTTGAAGGTGCTCTTGAATGTTTGCAGCTTGAAGACGAGAGCCGTGGCGATAGCGATGTCGGTCACAGCAGACCCAATGAACCACACCCTGGTCAACTATTATGAGTGTGAGTCGGCGGGAGAGGCTGCGACGAACATGGAGATGGGCCTGATATGTTTCTGCAGACTCTCGGTGGGATGGGTGTGCGTGATCGCGGTCACTCCAGCCCCGAGTGCGCCGCCAAAGGCAACTATTGTCCCAAGCGCAAGGATACCACAAACGACGTAATTTTTCGACCTGACAGGGGTGAGTAGACACAAGTGGGGTAGACATTCTGACGCACAAAATGCTATAGCGCCAGATGAGATACAACTGGACGGTCAGCCCGCTGAAGCCAGAGGTGAAGCACTGGTGTGTATCATGCGTGTGGAACAGTAGAGATAGCAGCAACGCACATAAATTGCACTAGGCCATGGGTTGGTTGTTTGGGTCATAAACGCGAGGTCACCCCAGTGAGACACGAGGAACTGTGGGTTGAGCCATCGGCGGTGGGCGGGGAGTGAGGACACATACGAGATAGGCATATGCCGCAGCCCCCATCGCCCCCAAAGTGTCGACAAACAGCTGGAACACAACAATCCACCAAACGATTGTCGTATTCGCTCCAGGAGAACGAACTACGGAGGCGGGAATGTAAGGGGGAGGTTGTAACGGGAGGACAGACGACGCACGGTGTTTATTCGAGAAGTACTGGAACGCGAGTACCAACTCGAGCGTGTAGGCCATGAAGCAGAGCCACGTTCCGACAAGCACGGGCCTGAGTGGGCTGTCAGCTTCGTTGGAAAAAAACAGCAGGCAACGCACGCAAAGATGTTTTGCAGGGAGGCGGCCACGCTCGCCATGAGAGGGGAAAGTGTCCGCGCGCCCCATGCAGTGGCGGCCTATATAGACAGACCTCAGAATCTCGATCGTCGGCCTGATAGGCGCTGCCCTTTCCGTTGAAGTACGCCCCTGAGGTAGTCAAATGGGCCGTTTTCTGAAATGAGCCCAGGATGTATATACGGCCAGGTCACTTGGGCGTTGCACGGGCCACGGCCTCCTGGTGCACGCAGCGCTATTCCCTCCAACCTCACGGACGGAGAGTGAAGGAAGGACGGCGGTCGTGCGAAGATCCGCGGTGGCGCCGGTCGGAAGCAAAGGGCGCCGTGGCAACCGCGCTACATAATGCGAGGAATCGGAACAAAACCAGGGGGATTTAAAAAAAAAAATTGACTAAGGTAATAATCATTCGTGGATGTGGATTATAACAATACAGGCTTTTGCATACATAATGGAGTGCAGTCGTGATTTTGGATTTGTGTGACAGCTGCCACCTGTTTTGGGCTGAAATCAGCCATAACTTGAAGGGGGGCTCGGAAAGGCTCGGGAATGCCAACCCATGGCACACTTATGCCAAAAATCAATCAAAAATGGTGAGAAATCAAAAATCGGACTGCAATCCATTATGTAAAACCCTGTAAGCAACTGTATTCTAATTTTTGACCATGGAACGTCCGACCTGGAGGTTTGTGAGAATACATTGACATGGGTAAATACTAAAAACGGTTTCATTTGTCGGCCCAACTGCGTATCTCGAGTTACTGGTCCGAGAACCTCAAGAGAGATTGCAACTCTGGACCTGGGGCTGCTACCAGACTGTTTTCCGAATACGGCAACGTCAGCTCGACGGCCTCCAGCGAACAGCCCGCGAGCTCTTTATATACCCAGTTCGCGTGGTACAGATTCGCCACACGCAGGACCCGCAGCCGGTCAGCAGCCGCGAGCGCCTGCAGAATGCGTTTGGTTTTCGGGGAGAGGAACACGAATGCAGACTCGAAGACTGTCTGGCCAATGAGTCAGTGCGGTAGCCGTGAGCCGGGGGAATGGCGCACGAGCAAATCCCAGTTGACGATCGCTTCCACCAGCGCGTCAAGCAGCTCAGTCAGCGCTTTGCACGGCTTGCGATGGTATTCACCAGACCGCAAGATGAGCCGCCGCGGACTGACGAGCGACAGCCCCGCGCACAGCCCCTCAGTCTTTTCGGGGGTGACGATATCGACAACGAGGAAGAGGTCGGTGATGCGTGGCGCGTGTCGCAAGATGGGGAGCATTAGCGCGCCGTACCCGCCCTCGACACGCAGTTTCTTGATGTACCTGCCCAGCTCGGGGCTGGCGGAAAGCGTGGTTGAGAGCGTCTTCGCCTGGGCCTTGGATTTGAGGATGACCACGCGGTAGAGCAGCGGAGTGCCGACGCGCCGCCAGGCGCAACAAACGAGCAGGTAGCGCCAGCGGGGCTGGAGGACTGGCGCGAAATGGGCCGAAAACTCAGAATCAGGAACGTCGAAAACTGGGTGGAGAATCGCCGAGAGAATTTCGTCAGGGACGGTGGAGGCCATGAATGAAGAGGAAGGGAGGTTGTCACGGAGGTTGTCACCCGCGTCGCGTGGCTCATTTTGATATAGTCACGTGTGACTCATTTTTGATATAGTGTTTCTTTTTTTTTTGGAGCATTTGGAGTAATGAACTTCAGTCTGCAGAAGCATTCCAAAGAACATCCGCTGGGTGCACTGGGATTAGCCAGTAAAATGCTGGGAAGTAAACTCAGGGGGAAATGCCTTTATGCACATTTTAAAACCAGTGTAGGACTCCTACTGTCAGAAATCAGTGCTTATTAACCAGGCTGCACGCCTCCGATTGAGTTCCAGACGAATAGCTTAACTACTACCCAAGGGTACAAAGGAGACAAAAGGAAAAGATAAAAGTGTGCCTGACAAGCACGCGGACCATGCTATATATATGCCACTCCAGCACACTGGTAGCCCTAACCCGGGCTCCGGCCGGTCCCGCAATCACATGTGAGATGTGCATCACCGCGTGTCCGCTCTTCCCGCTACCGCTAACACCTACTATTGGTGTGGTTCATCCAACACCTTTCTTCAAAGGTAGAATACCCACTAAAACCCCCTTTTCATTTATCCAGTTATCCGCCAAGGAGTCTTCATCCAGCAGAAGTCCACTCCAAGTACTTAGAACTACTTGATGATCAATAGCTAATTTATCAAATTTATACTTCTTAGTCAAGATTCTATCTTGTTGAAGTATTGAATTTATCATTGTAAGCCATTGATTATGTATTTTGTTAACTTGAAAAATTTTACTAGGATTTTTTAAACATCTTTCATTTTGCATATTCCAAATCATATAACATGCAGCTGATACTAAAATGCTGAACAGATGATCTTTATGAGGCTGAGGAGTACCTTTATTATTGATTACTCTGTTAGATTACACCCCAGCATTAATCCCCATTCAATATTTGGCCATTAGCTAAATTTCATACTCTAGAGCTGCACAGTTAGTTTCCAAATATATGTTCTTTCTAAGGCTATGCATTCTAGCATAATATGTTCTAGAGTCTCTGGAACCTTACACAGAGGGCATTCACCAAATAATTGGAGGTAAGGAATATTATCCCAGAATAGTCCTACTTAGAGTGTATTATGCATAGTTTTCCAGAGAAGATCTTTGATTTTACTACTGAAATGCAATGATCTGATTAATTTCCATATAGCTGCATCTGTAGGCTCATAATCAGACACTTCCTTTATTGTTTCTCTAGTTCTTTCTAGGGCTCCAACTATTTAGTTTTCATTTACACCTCCAGGTAAACTAAACGGAAATGGTAAGAAAATGTTTAGTAAATGTTTATTACCATTTAAAAACGGTTAAAAAGTTTCTAGGTTACTAAAAGTTGACTTTCGCACAAGGAATTTGGTGATTCGATTTGATAATAGCGATTATCAGCACTCGTTTTTTCAAAATATTTGAGAGCCATTGATCTAAAGATGGCGGAAATTTAAGTAGAGGTTCAAATTTTTTATCAGAAATATGAGTACGGCCATGCGCCAGGATGCAATAATGTGACTGAGTGTTGTCCAGCGAGTAGTCGGCAGGCTTTGATTGTCTGCACATGCCCTCCTGCCGACAGAAGCTCTTGTGTCATCTCCTTCTCAGCCAGACACTCGGCCTCAATGAAAGGAATGCATTGTGTGCAGCAATGGAAGCAACAGCCGCACCACTAGATAATATCTAGTCAATTGCTGTCTGAGTGCCAGTGCAGAGGACCGGTGCCATTGCCGATACTGTCCTGCTTTAACAGCGTGGCCGGTTCCCTCTTGGCAGACTCAAAAGTTTGATTCAAAAGAACTTGGCAAGTTCAAAAACTGTCTACAATATTTGAGAGCAGTTTCAAAATTTCTGAAGGTCATTTTTTGTCAGCGTTGGGCTCGGGGCGTCGGGGGGTCCGACTTCGAGAGGATCTGAGGAGCATGAGAGATGGGTGTCAGTCCGGAGAATAGACAATATTAGCCTAGCAACTACATCTTGCGAGTACGGTTTTTATACGCTACGATATTAGGGATGGATCGGATGGGCGCCAGGTCCCAGGGCGGATCGGATGGGCGCTGCGTAGGGCCGCAGGGGTGAAGGTAAGGGGTTGGAAGAATGGGGAAGCGTCGAGGAGTATGGCGGTTGTGCGGGCCCGGCGGCCCGACCCGAACCGTGACATCACCCCCTCTGTTGTGGGCGGCGTCTTGACGCCCTATGGGTCTGCGCTCCCTGATCTTCTTTGCGGATTTTCCATCGTCCATTTACAAGTTCTTCGCGGGACGCGAACAGGTTGAGTGTATAGAAATCCTCGAGTGCCTCCTCCGCGCCTTCAAGTTTATCCCGCAATTCCCACGTCCACTCCTCCCAAGGATAGCCCTTCCATTGAATTAAATACTTAAGGCGGTGTCGTCCTTGTTTGCGTACAAGGGAGATGGCCTCTACTTCGTAGTGTGGCTCCCCGTCCCGCATCTCGGCTGGGGGCGGCGGGGCGGCCCGCTGATGGTCCGCTACTGGGGCGTTCCAGGGCCGTAACAGCGTAGTATGGAACACGGGGCTTACGCGCCATGTGGGGGGCAAGATTAGTTCGTAGGAAGTTTTGCCGACTTTCCGCTTGACTTCGAACGGCCTGAATCTCTTATCGTCCAGTTTTTTCGAGGGCTGGTCGCTGGTGAGGTTTGTTCCTTGTAGGTATACTTTGTCCCCCTCAGCGTAGTTTGGGTCCGGGGTTTGCTTCCAATCGTAGTACTTCTTCATAGTTTCTTGGGCCTCCCTCATAGCTTTGGCCGCGTCGGCCCGGGCTTCCTTCATTCGGTCGGCAAACACCGTTGCGGCTTCCGTTGGCACCTCTTGCGGGGCCTCGGACCCCTTTCTCGGGTGTAATCCTAGTGTCAGGAAGAAGAAGGGCGAGAACCCCGTCGAGGAGTTAACTTTATCATTGAACGCAAATTCCACAAGGGAGAGCCAGTCGGACCAGTCGCTCTGCTGAAAGTTGCAGAATGTTTGAAGGTACTGCTCGACCTCCATATTTGCACGTTCTGTTTGCCCATCTGTCTGCGGGTGGTAAACCGATGAAGATCGGACCTTGATCTCCAACAATTTGCTCAAGTTGCTCATGAAATGCCTGATGAATTGTTGGCCCCGGTCGCTAATCACTTCTTCTGGGAATCCATAATCCTTCCAGACATGATTGCGGTATAGCCTAGCTACTCCTTCCCAGGAGATGTTTCCCGTGCACGGGAGTACACGGATCCCTTTGCCCAACCGGTCGACGATTACGAGAATTGTGTTATACCCGGAAGACTCGGGTAGTTGGACTATCAGATCGATTGATATGCGCTGCCACACCCAAGGTGGCACACTGTTCGGGACCAGAGTTCCCTACGGGCCGTCTGGGGAATATCTTTGTTCGTTGGCACAACGGGCAGGCCCATACGTAGGCCTGGCAATCGGCCTGAATCACTATTGCTCTTGCGAAAGGACGGCCCCGGTGGCGAAGTCGGAGGAGTCCACTTCGACCCGCCATGCCCCGTCATCCGTAGGGAAGTATAGAACCGGTTCGTCAGTGACCCGATCTATCAGCGTTTGGAAGGCCTCTTCCTCCTCTGGTCCCCATTTCCATGGGCTGTCTTTTCGGGTCAGTCAAGTGAGTGGTTTGGCGTATGCGCCGAAGTCCTTGATGAATCGCCAGTAGAAGTTGAGGAACACCCTATATAGCTCATTCTTTGCAAAAGATGTGGGCTGAGCTGCAAGGCTCTAATGCAAAAGATGTGAAACAGGGTTTAATTATTGAATTTCTCAATGGAATTGAAAGATATGACTAAGCTAAAAATTGATATAGTCATACAAATCACCTCTTCTTCAGGCTGAATACTCGTAGGGTAATACTTTGGACTTATGTGGCAGAAATAAGGAAATAAATTCAGAGATTAGGTAAGACTGATGTGGCATCACCTGGTCATTAGATCTAGTGATGGCAATCAAAAATCGTTCCATATTAGGTAATATTATCTAAATGCACTGATCCCATCAATTAAAACCCACCAGAGGGCTCATAAATAATTATTTTATTGTTTATAAGTTTTTCTTTGGGCACTTGCCCTCATCTTTTGCATTACAGCCTTGCAGCTCAGCCCTCATCTTTTGCAAAGATACAGCTATATGAGCTGTGAGGAACCCCAGGAAGCTTTGAACCTCCCACAAGTTGCAAGGTCGGGGCCATTCGCGCACGCCCGCGACCTTTACTGGGTCCATACGGAGTTGCCCGTTCCCGACGATCACACCGAGGTATTCAACTTCATTCCGCTCAAAGTCGCACTTGTCCGGTTTCAGGTATAGTTGGTTATCCTTCAGGATCTGTAGGACCTCCTTCACCGTCGTGTGGTGTTCGAAGAGATCACTGGAGTATATGAGGATGTCGTCCAGGTACACGATCATGTGACCCTGGGAAATTAAGTTGGAAAACAGTTCATTCATCATTGATTGGAACGTGGCCCGGGGAGTTTGTGAGGCCGAAAAACATCACGGGCGGTTCGAACAGACCGTGATTGGTAATGAACGCGGCCTTCTCTTCGTCACCTTCCTTTATTCGTATGTTGTTGTACCCCCAACGCACGTCGAGTTTGGTGAACCACCGGGTGTTACGTAACTTGTGCATGATGTCCGATATGAGGGGTATCGGGTATCGGTTTTTAATAGTGATCTCGTTCAGTTTTCAATAGTCCTGCACGGGCTGTAGTTTCCCATCCTTCTTCTTGACGAAGAAGAACGGGGATGCGTATGGGGATTTCAAGGGCCGAATCCGCCCGGTTGCCAAGTGTTCTTTAATGAATGCGTCGAGCTCTTTCTGTTCTTCTCCTGATAGGGGAATACAGCGCCCTTTAACCCGTTCAGCATCCGAGCGCAATTCGATGGTGTGATCTCATTTCCTCCATTCCGGGAGTTTGTCAAAGTCCTGTTTTTCAAAGACCTCCTTGAACTCCTTCAAGTAGTGCGCGGGTACACTCTCTTCCACGGTTCGGGG